CAAGGATGCTACCAGGGGCCCCTGGCCGTACTACTAGGAGCAAGGATTATTCTTGGGGGCCCCTGGCCCCTTTTTGCCCCTTTCCGCGCTCATCTCGGACGAACAATGCCCGACTCCCAACGTTCCCCACCGCCCCTCGGACTGTGAGGTACTCGCACTGACCACGGTTGGTAAGGCCAGCAGCCGATGCAAACGCACCATGAGCGCTTCGTTTCGGGGTTTCGGGGCCCGCAGGGCCCGGCTGCGCGGGCCGAGCCCAACTGCAGTGGGTGGAAACTGGCCTGAGCTGGCCTGAGCTGGGGGACCTACATTCAGCATGTGTGCCAGTTTGACGCTTTACCATTTATTTGGAGATCTTTCTTCATTGCTGGCCAAAGAGTTAGGAAGAATAAACGACTTCGATGCTTTATCAATACTTAGAACCCCCCGCCTTTGGGGGGAAATGACAAGATTAATCCACCATCTTGGACCTGGCATTTTGGCAAAAAAGAGTTACAAGTGGATTCAGAGTAGATGGCACAAACCAGCACGATGTCTTTAAGATGGAGGTGCATATCGACCACCAAACTTGGGGATGGTGCCATCTCCTCTCAAATCCACCATGAACAGTTACACTCCCTGGAACAATCACGGAAGTGGATGGCCCAGCCCGCTGGATGCCCATTTTTGCGGCACAGAGCGTGAACTCCGCTTCCATGTTACAATAGTTTTTCTCGTTTCGTGTAAACCTCTTCTCTTTCACTTTGGAGGTCGGAGTTCCTATGACATCCGATCGCGCTCTTTCTCTGTCGGTTTGTTTCCGAAAAAAACACACTCCAACGGAAAAATAAGAAGAAGCTATTAGGGGCTCCTGGCATCGCTACTAGGAGCAAGGACGCTACCAGGGGCTCCTGGCCTTACTACTAGTAACAAGAAGCTACTAGGAACAAGGGCATCGCTACTAGGAGCAAGGGCCTTACTAGTAGTAACAAGAAAGCTTATTGTTTCTATTTAATTCTTGTTTCTACTAGCTTCTTGTTACTAAAGGCACTTGTTACTAGTAGCGATGCACTTGTTACTAGTAGCGATGCACTTGTTTCTAGTAGCTTATGGTTTCTATTTAATTCTTGTTTCTACTAGTGATGCACTTGTTTCTAGTAGCTTATTGACCTGTGTAGGTCGGATGGTTCATTGGCCACTTGTTCAACCTGAGATGTTGTCTCATCCTCTAAGGCAGGACATGGTGTACTTCCTCCTCACTTCCCCTTGTCCGGAAGCTAGACAACTAGAACAAAAACACTGGAATGCGGAATGCTCTTAATTTTTTTCCTTCTCATGTCTCTCCTTCCTTTGGACTTTAGATCTTCTTCCTTTCAAACATCTTTAAACGATTTTAGAAGGCTGCGCCGGATGACTGGGCTCCAATCTCGCACCTGCTCGACGGCTCCAGTCTGGCGTTAGCGCCTCGTCAGTGCGCATGTCGGAAGACCCGAGGCCACCGGTGACCGTACACGGGTCGATGGTTCGAATTCTTCCCTGTTGGGCATCGGAAGAAGGACAATGAAGGACGCTACGAACGGGGCTCCTGGCATCGCTACGAACGGAGCGATCGGACGCTACGTCTTGATATGTCTTTCTTCCAATCAACCCATTGTAGTCTTTCGATGCTTCGGGACCTTCCGCCACAAACAACCAACGTTGTTCCTAGTAGTATGGCCAGGAGCCCCTAGTAGCTTCTTGTTTCAGAGTAAACACCATTCATCTATTTGCCAAGTGGAGTGACCCGCCCCGGGCAAACTTTCGATTGAACACGGAGGCAAATGCCAAATGCCAAAGCCTGCCAAAGGGTTGGCTTCACTCAAGTTCCCAGGTTGTGCCGCGAACTCGTCGCTACAGCAATGAAACAATGTGCGCCTGTACCTGGTCGCCGTGATTTTGTGTGGATTTATACCTGAGCACGCGGGATGCATTGGGGGTTTCTGAGGCCAAGAACATTTGCATTCTTTGCCAGTCCATCGGAACAACCTGCAAACGTGTCCGAATTGGTCCATCTACTGCGCACTTTGACATGAGTGGATGGAGGAGCAGCACAGGAAAGGTAACATCTCGGATGCAAAGGCAAGCAGTGGACTATTCCAGGAGCCTTCTGTTCAGGCAAGCAATCTGTTGAAGAGTTGAACACCAATTTTAGACCTCCGAAGGGTATCTTCCTTTCGGGGGCAAGGATGGCATCCCTTTCAAGTCCTTCACAGCGTCGAACCACGTGAAACTTCGATTCGTAGAGAAAGCAAGAAAAGGACACAGCTAGGAGTCTTTACTTTCAACACCTTCTTCTTCCAATTTCCTAGTAGGTTGGAGGCCATGGCTTTTTGGACTTTCAGACCTTCCTTCAGTTCCACAAGAACGCTAGGCTTAGGCTGACCGTTTGGCCCTGGAAGAGCGGCTTCCGGTTTACATGACAAATCATGGCCGAGGGTACACCGAGACTGAGAGAACCCCAAAGCTGACCCAATGCACAAAGAGGAAGTGGGACCGGGAAGACACAATGCAGACTTGTCTCTGGTTGTTTGGGTTTTCAGGAATGTAGAGGTATTTTTCAACAAAGGCTAGTAGCGTCCTTGCCCGTAGCGATGCCAGGAGCCCCTAGTAGCGTCCTTGCTCCTACCCCCCCCTCGCGCAAGCGCGAAAAGGTCCTACTTAGTAGCTTCTGTGCAAATTCTAATTAACATTAAAGTAACATTTTACTATAATTCTATATATTTATTGTTTCTAATTCATAGCTTCTTGTTACTAGTAGTAAGGCCAGGAGCTACTAGTAGCGCCCTTGCTCCTAGTAGCGAGGACCACGAGAAGGGACACGAAGGGCATCGACTTGGCAATTTTATCCCCTTGTTTGAGGCTCCGTCTCCAACATCCAGCGCTCTAACTCCCGCCGCTGCACCTGCCAAGGTCAGGCTTGGGTTTTGATGATGAAGAAACATTTAACACACCCTTTGTAAAGGCCGCTCTGCCCCCTACCTAAAAGCAATGACCTCCAACCTAATAGCAATGGCCTCCAACCTAAAAGTGAACAAACAACCGGCTCGGGCTTGGCAACTTCTAAAGGAGCACACATAGACAACTCAAGCCAAGTATTTGAAGCATCAGGCTGTGGTTGGAAACCCTTTGTTTCTTCATTGGGTTTCTTTCGTAGTGTTGGCAAGCTGTCAAGGCATGATCCTTGTGTTTGGCTCCAAAATGCATACAGTGCAGCATGAAACTCGTTCTTGCCTCCCAACAAAACTCGTTCTCGCCTCCCAGTAGCGTGGAGCCCCTAGTAGCTTCTTGTTCCTAGTAGTACGGCCAGGAGCCCCTAGTAGCGTCCTTGCTCCTAGTAGCGATGCCAGGAGCCTTTAGTAGCGTTCATAAAAAGAACGTCTTTTGGCGACTCGACCAGTTGTTTGTTTCTTCTCCTTTGGCCTCGCTGAGGCCTGCGAGGATCTGTTGACGCCTCAGTCGCTGCGCCGAGACGGCGTCTCCCAAGGCTCAAGTCTCGGGACACTTCGGCGTTTCTTCCAGACGAACGTTCTGAAGGACGGCGTTTTCTCCTTTACGTCGCGTGTTTCAAAAGCATGTTTCTTGAGTTTGATTTGTCTTCAGGTCAGTGTGCGAGGTGACAAAGCCAGTCACGTCTCACTCCAGTCTGTAGCGTAGCAAGCAGTAAGGGTAGATTGATAAAGGCGGTCAATGCGTGCATAAGGATGCATAAGGCATATTCAAAAGACACCCGAAAGTCCAGTTTTGGCACCTTAAGTGAACATGACCTGTCACTGCTCCCTGCTGTGTCTGAGATCGGACATTGGGTCGCCGAAGGTGGACGTGCATGTGAGTGCAAACGTGTCCGAAAGCATCTGTCTTCTCTTTTTCTGAGGGAGGAGCATTGGTTTGCAGAGTTTTCAAACATAAAAGCAGCACAACACTTGACTTTCACGACTTTCTGTCGCTCGCTGCAGTCATCAGATTGGCAAGTGCCATTCTGTGGAAGACTCTGCAGCATCAAGTGATCTTCAAAAGGTCACAAATGAAGAATCATTGACTCGCTCATACAAGTGAAGAATTATTGCAGCAACGCCCGGCAAGTTCCAAGAAAGTGATTATGATGGCCTTAGGGACTCATCCACCAGTGCTTTTCTTCCTACCCCCCGCTATGAGGAGACTAACACGGTGAATGCCTAAAGACCTAAGCCCGGCGTCGAATGCCTAACACTTGGGCTCCACAGGCCATCAATTTGCTTGCGGATGCATACAAAGCAGCTCCTTGACAGACAAGGTCGTCCTCAGCTGATTGAGACAATGGGCTAACGTGCAAAAACACAGAGAATTCACGTGAGAACAAAATACCTACTAGCAAAGGCCTCCAACCAACTAGCAATGTCCTCCAACTTAATAGCGATGGCCTCCAACCTACTAGCGATGTCCTCCAAC